AAAATCCATGGTGTTTAGCACATTAAGTTGTTCAGTACACGGACTCCAAGATCGGCCTTTTGACATAGGGCGATAAGAAAGTGGGATTCTGGATTAGAACTACCTGGCTTACAAGTGCTATCGGACACTGTCTACGCCTGTTCTTTGGACAGGTGGAGAATAAAATATCTTGAGTAGGCGCGTGACGAAACGCCTACGGCGGAAACTCTTCGAGTGGGACTTAGTGTGGTCGGGATCCGAGGCACTTCGTAAAATATACATTAGTTAGAAGAATCCACTAAAGCAAACCATTTAGTTGCCCCCTTAACCGACATGGCGCACGCCCAGATTACCTGCTCTAACAATAGTCTGTAAACTAATATAGACTAAACCAATAGGGCTTCATACCCTATATTATATATCAAATAAATCTCTAAATTAATTACTGTATACGATTCAGAAAGGATGATGATTTTTACTAAAATTTATTGTCCGAGCCTTATGACAGATGTAAAATCGAAGTAGGTCATACTATGATTTAAGAATATCTTTTAAAGAAACTAGATAGCCGACCATATTATATTGTCGAAGCACCCTATGGACCGTCTAGCAAATACAAAATTTGATATATTCCAACAGTTATGAATAATGTCTTTGATAGGACGAAACTAAACATGATGACTCAAGGCATCAGATGTGACTGGTCATTAAATCTTGTGGGGAAGGCCTGATCTTTGATTGTCTGTTGACAAAAATAGTTAAATTTGTCTAGAACCATATCGTTATAATATATTAAAACAATGTAACAGGCCCTATTTATATGCAATTCACTAAGGTTAATGTGGCTCGATGAAAGTCTCCTGTAGATCTTGATATTCGCGCAAAGACTGGTATTTACTTTAGTCGCCACAAAAGAGACATTTAGTTGCCAAGACGTATAATGTTAGGTCTCCAGCTGATGTCTAAGCTGTAAAATTTCTAGCTCAAGAATTAGAACTATAAGCATCTTTATATGAAATTGCTTGCAGTCTAATGTGTTTTAGTGGGTATTTGTCAATTCAGATGTGAGCTGTGTGCGAATCTGAATTGGACAAAAATTGTGACCTTGCGTATTGGTGAGAGAGCTAATGAGATTAATGGCCATGATAACCAGTCAACAAGAAGTTTCAAGAATGCCAACCTGTATTTTATGTGCCAATCGCTTGCTAGTTGTTCAAACTCCGGTGTCTGATGAGGAATAAACCGAAACTCCGTGACATAGCCAGTCTTCAGTTCCTCTGGACAATAGTCCCCCAACTCGGCTGAGAGAAAAAAAAGAGATAAGGAAATAATAGCAAAACGAGAAACACAATAAAATCAAACCACCAAAATCAAGTAAAGCAGGTGAATAAATTTTAAGAAAACATTTATAGCCAAATCCCCTCCTGCTTGGTCGCAGCCTCCTTTAGCTGTATTGAC